TACATTATTTACATTATCCGTATTGTTATTCACATCTTCATTGTCATATTCACAACGTTTCGGCCGTTATATGTTCAGGCCTTCTTTAGGTGATTGCAATTTCAAACCAAACTCTTTATTTCGTCCACCGGGGTAAATTGTTCTAGTTCCACGTGTCATTCCTCTTCCGAGTGTCTCAGTTATTTCCCTTTAGCTCTCCAAGTTTTTTTTATTATTTTGTTCACCACTGCTGTAGCCTGGTTTTGAACTCATAACTCTTTGGATCAAGTGATTGAATCTAACCAAGGTTTGTATCCCCTGGGTCATGTGTCCAAAAAATGGCACGTATTGTGAATATGGCAATAAAGATGAGGATAACAGTCTGAATAATGTCAATAATCATAATACCTCATCTCAGGGATATAGACAGATATTAGAAGGATTTATATTTATTAAACGAATACATCAAAACTCCAGTTCACTCCAATGATTATATATATTTTGAGTCGACAAATAGTAAATGTAAAAAGCAAAAAAAAAAAATGTTCACTGCTTTTATAATGTTACGGCTCTTCGGCATTCGTATACTCACTAAAAAGTTGTTTTTTTTTTTTTTTTTTGGTTCCAAATAAATTATGAGTCAGCATTTTCACCTGTTTAAATGCCGCTGGAGGCAAATTTGATGTTCGATGTCAAGTCAGTTTCTATAGAGACAATATTATAATTGTCTGCGAATAAAAAAGATTACATTTAAAATTGGAAGTTAGCTTCATTTATTTCTTCTAATCCCTAATCAGCAGTAGTCGAGTGTTAAATGATTTTCTTTTAATAAAAGTTTACAGCTTAGATTTTTCTGCTTTTTTTAATAAATCCTGAAAACATTCATGCGGTATGATGAATATAATAAAACATTTACAGATTATAAACATTTGCATTACATAGAATCGCTTTTGAGTTTTGATTTAGGCTACTTTAATGTCTACATATTCATCCTTAGTTTGCATATGGCTTAGAGTGGATTGCGCTCACACAGTCAGTGAGTGGTTATGTTTTAGTGCAGAACTGCATTTCTAAATTGCTGAATTTTAGTGTCCACTATTGGCATTTTCTTGTCTAAAAATGTCTTGGATGTTATTCAAAGTGTTTGTCATTGCGTTGTTATTCACTGTGAAACAATGAACCCATTTCTCTCCGTTTTCATTATATAATCCGAGTCCCATGATTTGACTCCCTGATTATATTTTTCATTTAAATAACTCATGAGAATTGTTTGTGCTTTACTTCCTTAAATGGCATTTTTTCGTGGGTTGTAAAATTTGATCCACGAGAAATGGAAGCTTTATAACAATTGTAAACGGTCGGCTCAATGGTTTTGATGAGGACGAAACACCAAAAGACTTTCGAAACCGAAATTGCACCAACAGAAGATTATGGTGATTGTCTGGATATACGTCATTGACGTTATTCCTTATAGTTTTCTAGAATCTAACCAGAGCATTACAGCCGAAGATTACTGTCAGCAAATGGATGAAATATTCATCCAGTTAAGCAAAATGCGACCGCCACTGATTAATCGATAAGATCCAATTTTGCTTCAAACAACATGTTGTCAGGATGAAGCTGCAGAAGCTCACCAACTTGGGATACGATACTTTGCCACATCCACCATTTTCTTCTCATCTTTTCGCAACTGATTACTACTTTTTCAGCCATCTTGAAAATTTTGCTTCATGACAATGCTCAGACAGAATGATATTTGCAGAACCTCACCGACTTGGGATACAAGACTTTGTCACATCCACCATTTTCCTCTCATCTTTTCGCAACTGATTACCACTTTTTCAGCCATCTTGACAATTTCGTAAGCCTAAAGACATTCCGTTGCAAAGAATCTGTATCCAAAGATTTATTGGCTTCCATATGTTTAGAGATATATCGTAAAGGTATAAATCAAATTGTAACGCGATGTTCAGATGTTCATGGTTTCTATTTTGACTGATTTAAACACACTTTAAACACATTAATTCAGGAATATTAACTTAACATGTCCTCTTTTCTCAGATTCACTCCTGATATAACATTCAAACAACAATTTGTTTTCCTCTTTTTCCAAGGCAGCTCTTCTGCTAGTCCTGATGACATTAGGTAATTCGATTGCCCCAGTTTCAGTAATGTTACCCATTACTCCTGCAGAGGGGAGGGGTCACAGACACATAAAAGATTCCTGTAATCAGAGAATGGCTCCTCCTCCGCTTGGCCCGTTACATTTACAGTAATTTTTCTCTCAATAATGAAAGTTGATATATTGTTTTTCCTTCCCTACTGGTTTTATTTAGTGACACTCTCGCCGGTTAACGTTTGTCGTGACTACAACACTAAATAGATTGCACCCAAGTCTCAGAGAACCTATCTACCCTCAGAGATATGTTACCGAAGTTTAAGTATCCCTTACTCCAAATAGGCTTACAGCACACCTGGGCAGCAACCCAGGTATTTCTACTTTCCCATGCAATCATTATTATTATTAGAAGAATAAACAGATCATTCAAGTCGGGTGCAAAATCGTGACTAAAAAGTAAATAATGAAAATAGAAATGTTATAAATTCACACCAGCCAAATTAACCATTTCAACTGTTTTACAAAAACTGACATCACTGTGAATTTAAAGAAAGAAATGAAACTTAACCAGGAACGCAAATCATGAAAACAGACACGCTTGAATGGAGATGGTTATTCACTGAGAATTGTGCAAACGAATTTGTTTTCATAATTTTGTAGATAACGTTATTTCAAAATATATTTTTATATATTTCTTGTTATAAATTCTTGTTATAAATTTCCCCATTTTTTTTTTCCTTTTTCTAATATTGAGATTTTCTTTTTCATTCTTTCTCTCTATCTACTCTGAAATGTGTTTATCTAGATAAATACACTCAAACTTATTCAAATTTTTATTGAGGGCAAAATCCAGGTCTTATAAATACCATTCTATGGCCTTCATTTTATTTTATTTTTTATTTATTTATTTTTTATTTATTTATTTATTTATTATTTTTTATTTATTTATTTATTTTATTTATTTATTTTATTTTTTTTTATTACAGATATAAAATTATAAATAATTTTAAATTATATAAATTTTTTCTTTTAAAGGGTACATTTTATATATTTCTAAAAGATATTTTAATTGTTGAATTAAACAGTGTATAGATTTTTATTTAATTAAAATATTTTAATATCAAAGCCTTAATAATGAATAACTAAAAATAAGTTTAAACTTATGAATAATTTAAATAAGTTTAAATTTTTCTAAAATAATTGGCTGCAAATTAGTATTTATTATTGGTAAAATGACTAGTTCGAATAAAATCTGAATTTTAAATCAGTTTTTTTTCTAGTTGTTCAAGATGACAAGATAAGACTGAGTTAATGATTTATTCCATGGGTGTTGATAAATAAGATTATCCATTATGTTATCCCCTTTGTTCTTCTCTCACTCTTTATCTGTATCTTCATGTTCTCCCCTAATCCTTTCCAATCTTTTATTTGATCATCCATGATTTTTATCTAAATATGGAGTAATCTTATATGCAACAAATAAGGAATTCCCAAATATTCTGTATTGTATCTGTTTTTGCTACTATGGAATATGGAAGACAAACAGTGTAATAGATTTCAACACAGGAAGTTTCCAGGCTCATCAAAAGCTTTGACTCTACAAAGGCTTGTGGCCTGGATAAAATCCTTATGTTTTTTTTTTCTTAAGAACTTTAGAGTTATCCCCAATCTTGGCCAAGTTGTTTAACTGTTGCCTGAAAGAGAAATATTTACCAAGTCTCTGGAAAATGGCAGCAGTCTGTTTTCAAGAAAGCAGTTGAGCACTTATCCTCATCAAAGCCTCCTCAGCAAACTATTAGTCTGTGATCTACAAGGTTATTGATCATTTCAGTTGCAAATTTAAAACCTTTTCATCATTACCTGGATTTCACTTCTTGTTTCTTCATATACACCTAGCAAGTCTCTCTTTCTTTCATCTCTATCACTTCCTCCATTTTTACATCACTATAAATGTAAAGAAAGAAATGAAAGTTAACCAGGAACACAAATCATGAAAACACACACGCTTGAATGGAGATGGTGATTCACTGAGAATTGTGCAAACGTCTTTGTTTTCGTATTCAGGTGAATCCCAATTTCTAGAAAAGAAGAGACAGTATTGCTGCAAATAATAATAATAACAATAATAATAAATGTTCTGATGATTGCACCAGCTATGACTCTTCTGCACTTAATTGATAGGTTTTTTTTTCTTGGTGAATTTGCTTGTCACCTGCCAGTTGGGCACGTCCTCTAGAGGCATGATGCACTGAGTATCTCTTCACATGGGCATGAGTAGTGACGAAGAATCCTGGCCGGGTATCGAGGGGGTTAGTTTAGTTTAGTTTAAAGAATGAGACAGGATAAGTAATTTGGGAGTTATATCTAGATGTTTGTGAACAGTTACAATCGGAGACATTCTGAACAGACTGTAATACTCAACCGGAACTAACTGGTCCCCACCTGTTAAAATTAGGATCTCTAATCAAAACTTGGCACTATATCGCCAATCTATGGCTGTGAAGCATCTGCCTGGTATTTTACTCTTATCAGACTAGCAGTCATAATGTCCGCAGAGTCACTTTGTTGGCGTGATGTCCTCTCTGCCAATAATAATAATAATAATAATAATAACATTAATAATAATAATGTGTGCATCTTATTATCAGTGGGAAGGCATAATGGCGGGGTGTCAACATGGTTGATAATTTTAAGTTTGAAAAAATGAGGCAGAACAGATAACTTGGGAGTGACATCTAAATAGTTGGAAAGACCCTCCATCGAAAACCACGCCTTGGTGGAGTGGACTGTCCAGCCTTGGGTACAACCTGAATGAATATATGCGGCTGTTTTTTGGGGGTTTTTTTTATCAAAACCCGAAGGGATACGGGGCATAAAAGAAGATTGGTTTCATTTTTACTTTTCATTTAATTTTTAACTTTCGATAGCTTAGCTGTTCATTTGTTCGTTGTTCCTCTTCTTTTCGAAGAGGACAGAAAAGAAAGAAAGAAAGAAAGAAAGAAAGAAAGAAAGAAAGAAAGAAAGAAAGAAAGAAAGAAAGAAAATGTAAGCAAAAGTAAAAAAGAAGATTTGGAAAAAAAAGAAAGAGAAAGAAAAATAAGTAAAAGTAAAAGAAGAGGAAGAAGATGTGGAAAGAAAGAAAGAAAGAAAGAAAGAAAGAAAGAAAGAAAGAAAGAAAGAAAGATAAGGTATGCAAAAGAAAGAAAGAGAAAGTAAGAAAATGTAAAAGAAGAGGATAAGGATTTGAGAAGAAAGAAAGAAAAGGTAAGCAAAAGTAAAAAAAAAGGAGATTTGGAAAAAAGAAAGAAGAAAAAAGAAAAAGTAAGTAAAAGAAGACGAAGAAGACGTGGAAAGAAAGAAAGAAAGAAAGAAAGAAAGAAAGAAAGAAAGAAAGAAACATAAAGTGAAAAAAAATAAAGAGAAAGATCAGATAAAGAAAAAATGTAAGAGAACAGAGGGCAAAAAAGAAAGAATGCAAAATGAATTTTTCTGTTTCGTTCTTTTTTTTGCCTCCATTTCTCTTTCTTTATTTCTTTCTTTCTCCTCATTTTCCTTTTTCTCGGTCCTTCTTTTCGCGCTATTTTAAAACCAATTATATTTTCTCTGAGCCAAGACAACAATAACGTTGATTGTATCCTATTCAATTAAGAGATTTAGAAAAAAAATGTATAAGACAAAATCTTATCTTTTCCTCTGACGAGGATAATATTAGTTTTAGGCCAAAACATTCCTTCCATCCTCAATTGAGGAGGTGAGTGCTGATAACAATGATTAAGTTTCTATGAGCAGCGGCCATGTTGTTTCACGCTTTCCCAAACCCATCAGACATTTTCGTTTCTCCCCCTCCTGCATTTTTCCCCTTTTTCAGGTCAGTATCACCTAATTGCACCTAAGTGACGTTCAAATAACACAATAGATGATTATATATTTTTATCCGAGGCAGGTCCTCTTTCTTTCCCAATTTTCTATTTCATTACACGTCTCTCACTCCAACCGTGATTATTATGTAACCCACCCTCATAAAAAGAATCTCCTCTTGACATAATTCCCTCCGTAGTAGCAATAGTTTCAACAAATGGTCTCTCTCTTTCTCTCTCTCTGTCTCTCCCTCTCTCTCTTTCTCTCTCTCCCCCTCTCTCTCTCCCCCTCTCTCTCTCTTTCTCTCTCCCCCTCTCTCTCTCTTTCTCTCCACACACACACACACACACATATATATATATGGGGGCAGCCAACGCGTTAAATGAGTATGACCATCGCTGACAAGTTTGATTCATGTTTTTAATTATCTTGAGAAGAATGGCTCTTGAAGTCAGCAAGTGACTTGCAATCCTATTGCAGATATAAGACACTATGTTGTTCTGTACAGGACGTGGACTGTTTTGTAAATTCTATTCAGGTTTCTCGTGTGTTTTCATGTAACAGGTTAGACGGGAGCGGTTTCTGCATCACCGATTTATCTCTACATATACACACACACACGCGCGCGCACACAAAACACGCACGTACACACGCGCAAACACACACACACACACATATATATATATATATATATATATATATATATATATATATATATATATATATAAATATTAAAGACATTTTATAGTTTAACATTCTTTTTATAGATACAAAGTATTTAAGTAAATGGTCTGTTTATAATAAACAGTATTAAATAACATTTACCGGCCTGAATGTCCGAGAAATTTTCATAGAAAATATTCGTCCTTTGACAAGATTCGAACCTGCATCCTATATTTTCTATGAAAATTTCTCGGACATTCAGGCCGGTAAATGTTATTTAATACTGTTTATTATAAACAGACCATTTACTTAAATACTTGTATCTATAAAAAGAATGTTAAACATAAAAATGTCTTTAATAAATTGTCGGACTAAGTCCATTTCTTAATATATATATATATATATATATATATATATATATATATATATATATATATATCAACAAACAGTATTTTGAAAAATATGACGCGTTTCATCCGTTAGTTTGTCATATTTTTTTCTAAATATATATATATATATATATATATATATATATATATATATTCTGTTTATACGTTGTTATTTTTTTTATAGATACAAATATTTAACTAAATTGTCTGTTTATAAAAAACAGTATTAATTAGATTTAACGGCCTGAATTTCCGAGAAATTTCGTATATATATATATATATATATAACTATATAAAGTATTTGTATATATTTTATTTTAATATATATTAAGAATAGAAAAATAGTTTAAAAACATGTATTTAACAAAAGTTAAAAAAAAAGAAAAGGAAAAAATAAATAAATAAACATAAAAATTTGTGGAAGAGAAAAGGGCATCAGATTAAAATCACCAGTCATCAAAAAATATTTGACTAAGCTATTTTTGTTTTTTAAATGACCAGGTCAAAAAACCTTCTTTACTGTATCTGTCTTAAAGAAAAGATAACAAATTTTCCTTTCTCCAGGCAATAAAAAAAAAAAGATGATGTTGAATTTGAATAAAAAGGGTTTTTTTGAAATTTTTAACTTACAAATGCTTAAATTTTTAACTTCACCCTCCCAATATAAATACGGGAAACAGTTCAGCCGGGTGTGTGCTAAGCTGTGTCAGGCATGAAGAAGTGAAACCAATTCGTCTGAAAATACATTAGTAGAGTTAGAGAATCACATCGCCTACCCCAACGGCAAGACTAAGTCTGAAAAATAAAGCTTGATTAAACTCATCTAAGTTCCTTCAATGTTTATATAATAACCCCGGCAAATCACAGCGTGGAGAACGGCCGCCGGAAAATTGTACGGAGCTCACAGTGGGTAAAAATAGAATTTATTCTTGGAATTCAACGAACCGATTAAATTAAGACGAACGGAAAATTTGAAGGAAGAAATTGAAAAGTAAAAACCTCAGCAGACAGAAGAATTTCTTTTTATTTTTTGTCGTCAATCACCCACTAAAAGACATTCTAATTGCTTGGTATTTAAAAAAAAAAAAAAAAAAAAATAAAAGAAAGAAAGGGAACCCGTTCAACAAGCACTGATTCACTTAAGGTAAGCCGAAAAATTTTGTCTGTTCAAAAAATCGCTGGCATATTCTTGGTATTGGTTTTGATTTTTTTTCTCTTTCTTTTGCCACTTTTATTTTTTTTTTAAATGGATAGGATTCATGTTATCGATCAATAAACGTATTTAAGATCGATCTTCCGAATTCCAGGCTTGGGTTGAAGCCATAAAAAAAAGAGTAGAATACACAAGCTTTCGCAGACAACATGGATACAATCAGAATATATAGGGCTGTATTTAGAGGATCATCCTGAATGACATGAACTTTTGCAAAAAACTCATCAATACATACACAATCAGAATTAAGGTAACACAAAGAAGGAGAAACTCTGCCAAACTAACATTCTATTTATCCAGACGCAGTTCAACAACATACTTCAGATGCAGCTGGCAAAATTTTCACGGACGCAATCGAAAACTCGTTCGTGAGAGAGGACACAGCCAGGGCATACCCAACCACTCTGAAGGCATTCAATGCAGCACAAGGATGGCTGCACGAAAGGCTGGCAACCTCTCGGGAAAATGAATGGAAGATATGTAGGACCTCCCATTCGATAGGGAACGGTGGAGGTTGGTGGGAAATCAAAAACCCCACCCCGCAGAGAAGCCAGAGTCATGCCCAGTTCCTGGCAGACCGATGTTGGGGATGCGGTCGACTGGTGATGTGGAGGGGCCCTTACGTGCCATAAAAAACCGAACGGCAATAACTTAAGGGCCACCCCGAGGGATGTTATGGCCCGAAAATGGTTGCCCCAAGCAACTTGTGATGTGCTGGTGAGCGGCAAATAGTAATTATTAGAATGAATTTTGAGATTAAAAAAGATTTCAAGGCATTAAACCAAAAAATAAGACTCGAAGCTGCAGATAAAGATAATTCAGGCAGACGGACGAAAATTAACTGGTTATCCCTCCTAAAAGTTTTCCACTATGCAGGATGAAACCATCTGTAGGGCAATGATTTAGGCTGGTTGGAAATAAGGCTCAAATTAATTTTCCAACCTTCTTAATTATTCCTCTCGATCCGATGAATGAAGAAGTGGTCGTTCTTCCTACTAAAGACATTGTTTTGAAACATGAGAAGGCGGTCACCAGCAGAAAACCTAAGGCAAAGGAATATATCAGGTAACTCCAACTGATAAAGGAATTCGAGAAAGGGGCTTTTTTTGGAATTTAAAGAATTATAAAGCTATTAAAAAGATGCACAGATACAAAGTTAAAGACAGGCAAATTGTTGTCATTACAAATGACGCAACAAATGAAAATCTTTCAATGGTTTATATGGGTGGTATGGGTTCTTTTACTGGTGGTGCTAGATTCTACAAAAATATTTGAAGGACCTCTCATAAATACAGTAATGCCAATCTGTTTATAATAAAAACAGTATGTCTTCAAACAACAATTTCTCGGAAATCAAGAATATGGCAAGAGAATTTTCAGAAAATATTCGTTTAACCCCGACAGACTTTGTTTGACAGAACTATGGTTGTACGTATACAAAACCAGGAAAAAATGACAAAACTTAGCCCAAATTTACGTTGCCTTTTTGAAATCGTTGGTATTTGGCCAGAGAGAAGTCAGTTTGGTGGACAGATGGGAGGTGGATTTGATTTCCTATGGATTTGAATGGGAAATATGGACGGTGGCAAGCTAAATGACTTTGTCCATTTCACTGGAATGGGGTACTGGCATGACGTCAAGATATATATGTTGCCGGGCATATATGTCTGGTATAGCAGTATACTGGAGCTACCAACATGGGCAGCGGAGCTGGTGGTATGGGAGGTGGAATGGGTGTGTGTGGTATGGATGATGTGTGTGCAAATAACCTTGGACCCAAGTGTGTGTGTGTGTGTGTGTGTGTGGAATCATCCACAAACTTTTTACTTGAAAAACTTGTGCACCTAAATGCCACAAGGTCCCCAAACGACGCTCCGCAGCTTTTTTGAATTCAGAGTTGTCCTTCTCTAGACCAGTTACACAACTTCCGCCTTTTTTATGCTATAAAATCCAGTCTGTCCAGACTTGTGGAAACCTATTTACCCATATCTGGGAGGAGAAGAAGAGGATTCATACCATTCCCAAGGGTATTTTGGTGGGGAGCAATTCAAGTAAGTTAATTAAAAGTAATGGATTTGGCAAAAGGGTGTTCGTCAAGATATATGTTTAATATTTTTGACTCTTCCTTCTAATGAATTTTTCCAGTTTCGGACACATACAGGAAAAATGTGTGTACTTGAAAAAAAAAAAACAAAAAATGAAAAAAAAAAAAATAATGTCCTAGAAACAACTGTGCTATAGATAAAAAAATATCCAGAAGTTCATTTATTTTTTTTTTGTTGTTTTTTAAAAAAAAAAATCAAGAAAGTAAAATTTTTGACTTTCGCAGTTGAAAAGAGACTGATCAAGAACTGATAATTAGTGGACTCTATATTGTGGGGGGAGAGGGTGAAAACACTCCTCTCTTGATTTTATTGGGTTAAATTCTGTCGGGCGCCATTTTGGGAGGGGGGGTCCTCAGCAAACTTCCATCATGACCTTTGTTTATCTTTCATTAACAGGGTTGAATTGACCAAGAGTTCTTTAAAAGGAGATGATGGAAAATGGTTGACGTTCATTAACGAAGAATTGACATAACGATAAACCAACTGGGAATTCATTGATGCCGCTACAAAAAAATTGAATGATTGTGGGTTGAGGAAATAAAAGAATGGTAAATAAAAATTGATTAATAAGAAAGTTCATAATTTTAAGGTTTCAAAATGGCTGGCAGAAGGTTCATTTTTATTTTTTGTTTATTGATTTATGAAAATGTCACGATAACTAGCGTTTTAAAGTTTTTGTAAAATTTATTTTATTTTAAAAATTAAATAGAAAACGGTTATAGTTTAAAAACATGTTTTCAATAAAAGTTTAAAAAAAAAAAAAAATTAAATAAACGCTCATTTTTGAAGAAAAAGGGCATCAAAAATCGTCATCCAATAAAATATTTGACTAAGTGATTAGATGGAAAACGTTTAAAATAGATTTTAAAACTCGGCAAGAAATGGCGGATTAAACATCCGACGGCCTTCTTGATTTTTAAATAAAAAGATTTAAAAATCCTGGAAAATATATCACATTACAGACACACACACACATCAAAGAAAGCAAAAGTTAAGTATAAATTTTTATATATATATATATATATAATATAAATATATATTTTTCCGAAAAGTTCAGCCGGGTGTGTGCTTGAAAGTTTCATGTTCATGTCAATCGGTCGGTTCGGCATTTGATCTCCATTAGTTAGAGTTAGAGCTAAAAGTCTGAACAAAATAAAAGCTTGATTAAACTCATCTAAGTTGTGGAAGTTCGTTCCTTCAATGCTTTATCTTGTGCCCCCAGCTTTTTTTAACAGTTTAAAGAAATATTACTGTTAAATATATATATATATATTATATACTTTATTTAAAAATTATAACATAAATATGTTATTAATCATCAAAATAGCAACACCTCTGAATCTTTAAATGTGAATAAAGGGTTTTAACAAATTGATTAACCACCCCTCCCAAGAGGAATAAATATAAAATAAAGGATACGAGAATTTTTGACAATATATATTATAATAACTATTAAATTTTAAAGTTGGGGTATACTAAAATAGAATTTATTCTAATTTTAAATTATACGATAAAATTTGAAATTGAAATTAAAAACTACTTATTTTAAAATCTAAATTTAAACTTTTAAGTTTAAAATTATAAAATTACTGGGGAAAAAAGAAAAAATACTTATGTTATTCTACTTATTATTTTTTATTGAAATTACGTTGAAATAAACGTTAAGATCACTGTTTAACTTCATGACAACATGGATACAAGTGTAGTCAGGGGGTTGATGACATCTTGCAAAAAACAATACATACACAATATTTTTTTATTTATCCAGACACTTAACAACATACTGGTGCCAAAATCTATTTTCTCTGTGAATGAACGGAAGATTTCATCATTCGCTTTGAAATAAACACCCCACCCTTTTGACTTTTGACTGATGTTAACTTTTATCAAAAATGGTTGCCCCAGCCGTTTCATAAATGAACACGATAAAAAAAATTGGTCAAATTTTCGGGGATGAAAAACGTTACTTTAAAAATTATAATGGTTTCACCTCTCGTTTTTGAAAACATGAGAACTCCGAAGGAATCATTTTTTTTTTTTAAATAATTATATGTATATTATAACATCTTTATGGATACATTCTTTTTATAGATACAAAAATTTAAAGAAATATCGCCTTATAATAAACAGTATTAAACATTTTCGGCTTGAATATCCGAGTTGATGTCCCCCGACAATTCGAACCTTAACGTATACGGAAAAGTTTTAGCTTGACGTGCCTTTTTACCGATTTGGCCAGAGAGAAGTGTTTGGTCCTTTGAACGAAGGACTAAATGACTTTGTCCATTTCATAATGACGTCATATATTTATTATATATAATATATTATATTTGATGAATATTTATGTGTGTGTGTGTTGTGTGTTTGTTGTGTGGAATCATCCACACTTTTTGAAAAACTGGTTGCTGCCAAAGGTCCCCAAACGACAAATTTTGAATTCAGAGTTGTCCTTCTCCTAGACCAGTTACCAACCAATGCTATAAAATCCAGTGTCCGTATTTACTATCTAAATTCTAATTTATTAGCACGTGGAATGGATTTTTTTCGTCAAGAACGTTTAATTTTTTTGAATTTTTCCAGTTTCGGACGGGTATCCTAGAAAATAAAACTATCCGAAAATTTTGTTATTTTTTTGTTCAAGTGACTATCGATTCATTATCAAGAACTGATGTAGTGTCTTTATTCAAACACGTTTACATTACTGTATTCTTTGAGATGATGGAAAATTGACTGTCTCTTGAATGATGCAAAGACTCAAGACTTCGGATTTCTGGCTTCTTTGGATCTATCCATTTCTTTATTTATTTTTGATCTGTATACTTAATGAATCATTTGATAAAAATCGCCCGAGGAAACCGTATCTATTACTTAAACTCACCTCTTTACACACACACACATATATATATATATATATATATATATATATATATATATAAAACTAAAATTCTCAGTTCAATACCAACGTTACTGTTAAATAAAGAAGTGTTAGAACTATTTTTAGCCATAATCATGAATCTTTACGCAACGGTGAGAATAAATATATAATTCAATATATATTTTATATTATTTTATATATATATATATATTTTATATATATAAAAAGCTTCATGTTTCCTAAGTGACCAGTTGCTATATTTTTTTCTCGCACTTGTTTAGTTTCAATTCTTTTCTTTTCTTTTCTGTTCTTTTCTCAAAAACAATTTGGACCTTGTAAATAAAACGTAAAAAAAAAGTCAACGGGATGAAAAACGTTAAAAAAATGTGGTCCTAAAGTAATCCGCCCGGTTCATGGATAAAAATAAAACAGGGATGGGTGTCTAAAAAGACTAAAATGAAAAGAAATATCGCCTTTATGACTGAGCATTTTTGAGTTGATGCAACAAGTTAAGCTTTTCTCCTGTCCTGACACTCTTGACGCTTTTATTGAAATTTTTATTTTGATTTTTTGAAAAATTGCTAAAGCGATGCAAATATGAGGAAATAATTTATTACTGGATTTTTGAACGTTTAACTTTTTCTATATCAGA